AAATGAGTGAGGGGTTGACATTTTCAACAGATTTAAGTAACACCCAACTTGTGATTTTCAAAATTACTGAAAATAATTATAATATAGTTATAAACAAGTCATTGTCAATGACACGTCCCCGTTCCGTTCATATTTGAGTGACATATACATTCAAAGCAGATCATGAACGAAAAGCATCTGCATATGTACAACACATTGTTCTAAATCTGAACAAAATCCATCCATGCATGACTGAGATCAGGTTCCGGGAATTGTGAAAATACGTGATTTTGATGCATTTTCGGCCTTAAAATGGCCATCATTCAGCTATTGTTAAGCGGATCATGAAACAAATGCACATATCTATTTGTGACATGATGTACCATGTGTGTGTGATTGAACTTGATCAATCCAGACATGTCTTGGATACGGATCCAGAACCGAATTTATTAAAACAAAATGGCCGCCAGTCGGCCATTTCGAACTTGATCCGAAAAAAAATAAATAACGTGCATCAAAGTCCTATTATGTTTTAATGTATGTACCAAATTTGAACAAAGTCCGTCCATGTATAACTGAGATCTGGGTCCGGAATGGTGAAAATGTGCGATTTTGATGCATTTTCGACCTTAAAGAGGCCGCCATTAGGCTATCATTAATGAAATCATGAAACAAATGCACATACATATTTGTGACATGATGTACCTTGTGTGTGTGAAGTTTGAACTCGATCAATCCAAGCATGTCTCAGATACGGATCCAGAACTGAATTCTTTAAAACAAAATGGCAGCCAGTCGGCCATTTCAAACCCGATCCAAAAAAAAAATGACGTGCATCAAGGTCCTATTATGTTTAATGTATGTACCAAATTTGAACAAAATCCGTCCATGCATAACTGAGATCCGGGTCCTGAATGGTGAAAATGTGCGATTTTGATGCATTTTCGGCCTTAAAATGGCCGCTGTTTGGCTATCGTTAATCGGATCATGAAAAAAATGCATGTGCATATGTCCCATATAATGTGTGATGTATGAGTGAAGTTTGACCTTAATCGGTCCATGCATGTTCAAGATACAGGTGATCACGTACGCACGGACGCACGCACGGACGCACACACGGACGCACACAGGGCAAAACATAAGTCCCCGTTTTCGGACTACGTCCGAATGGGGACTAAAAATAAAGAATGGTTGCTGTAAACGCACACTAGATAATACTTGCAATTCACCAAGCCGATAACCCCTATGAAATAGTAATCCCAAACCACGCGCCCATCACTCAGTGGCGCCGGCAAGTCTAGATTGGGCAAGGACCAACACGTTTTGCAAAGTTGCAAGTCATTTTGCTAACTGACTGTCCGAATAATTCTCAGAACGGCTGTAAATAAAATAGTTTTTATACAACCAATAATGCCATCCCATGCAAATATTTGTTTTCTCGTCCAAATAAAGAAGTTATATTAGCTGGGTCTATATGACACCAGAAAATTCTAATCATAGTGTGAAACATTGAGGTTATAATGAGCTATGACATTATCTCTCCTGGCTATTTTCACAAATCACTGAAAAAAATTATTATTGAGATAAATTATTTGCTTCACATTCCACTGGGAACATCGATGACAATTAATATTTAAGAAATAAAAATAATTGAATATGGTTTCATCATGAGTAATATAATATTTATCATAAAAATCTGTTGTGCTTATCAAACTAAACAACACAGGGTGCAGGGTGACAGGCATGATTCCCAAATAGACATGTACTGTATTTTCATATACTTGTATAACAGCTGGGGGTGCATCTGTGGTCAAAATAAGATTCAGTTTCACAATAAATGCCATTTTAGGTGTATGTGTGCTTCTAATGAAGGCGTGATTCTAACAAAGCAAATATTGTACACTTACACTGAGTACAGTATTGTCCAGTATAGCAATCAGCACAAGTACAAGTAAAATCTGTACAAGAACCAGAAACAGCAACACATGTTCCACCATTCTGACAATAGTTGTTAGCGCATGGATCTTGGACTGCAATGGATAGAGGATTAACATGTAGGAATGACAGAATGCTGCCCACAAGAAAAAAATGGTGATGTTCTGAAAAAGTAATAATATTTCTTCCTAACAAGTATATATTTTAAGCCTAGGCATATTTTGTAAGTGTTGCTGACATGATCGATTGAGACACTATTTAGTGAAACCATCTTCAATATTTTGTAGTTTGCTTAATAATAAATCTTTATATAAACCTCAAACAATATAAAACCATTGCTAAATTATTGCTAAGGTCTGGATGACTTACATGTTGAACAATACTGTCCAAGATAGCAAGTAGGACAAGTACACTGATATAACTCGCAGGATCCTGAGATAGCAACACAAGTACCACCATTCTGACATTGATGGTTGTCACATGCATTCAATACTGAAAGATTTAAAGTTTTAGCAATTATGAATTTTAAATAAATATTATGCAGATTTGATTTATTATATCTGCTACAGCTATGACTAACAGAAACTAGTGTGAACAAATCATCAATTATATCAAGTATATGTAATATAAAGTTCAGGTTTTATATTGACAATATGAAATAAAATATATACTAAATGAAAATTGACACAATGATATAATTTACACTCACATGTTGTACAATATTGTCCAGTATAACATCCACTGCATGTACAGGTATAGTCAGTACAAGATCCAGGTACAGCTACACAGAAACCACCATTCTGACATTGAGAATTCTGGCATGGATTCAATACTGTGAAATGAAAATACAAACAATTAACAAATAATGCTCATTAATGTGTTCTAATATATGTAGAACTGATTTCATAGTATATGTGTGGGTGTACCGTATATCCATGTATGTAAATAGGTCTCCATGTGGTAGTTGAGCGCGGTAACTGAGCGTCTCAGTTTTCACGAAGATACGAGTTGAGCGTACGCTCACTTTCAAAAGTAAGTGTGGAGCCAAACAATGGAAAGCTTGAGTGCGCTCACTTTTAAAAGTAAGCGTGAGGACAAACCATGGAATGCTGGTGATGTAATGAAAGTTATGCTCCGTTTAACATGAAGTCCATACAAGTTCGTTTCAGAGGTCTAACTGGCACAGTCCCTCTATCACCTCTGATAAAGGGACTGTGATCTAACTTAAATAAGTTAAAGAATATAATCTGGATTCACATGAGCAGGACGTTTGTTAAAACTGACGCAACCATATCTAATTAAATATTCACGCAGTTTGAACCCTATGACCTTGTAAGATGGACGCGTCTGGTAATGAGGGACTACGCTCACTTTTACGTGTAATAGTAGGCATGGGACCTACAATGGAACATGGAGGTAGAAATGAGAATGCATGGAATGAGAAGTGCGCGTGTCTGATTTCAAGTAACCACAAGTCGCCAGTGTATACATGACATTTTTTAGAGTACTATTTTGATTCACGCAAAATAAATGCCGAGATCGGCTACAATTATATTTAATAGTGATAAAGATGCAACTCTGGCGTTTGTTTTGTCTTGAGTGTTTTCATTTGTCGGCGTCTGTAAACAACGCTCAGTGACAACAGTTGTTGTACACACTTGCATGAGCCAAACAATGGAATGCTTGAGTGCGCTCACTTTTAAAAGTAGGCGTGGGGACAAACCATGGAATGCTGGAATGAAAGCTACGCTCAGTTTAACATGAAGTTGATACAAGTTCACATATTCACTGGAGAGGACGTTTGTTAAAACAAAGCAACCATGTTTAATTAAATATTCACGCAGTTTGACCCCTATGACCTTGTAAGAAGGACGCATCAAAAAATAGTCTTCCTCTATTCATCGTCTCAGCTTTCGGAAGATGCGAGTTGAGCGTATGCTCACTTTAAAAATTGGGCATGGAGCCACACAATGGAATGCTTGAGATAGTTTACTTGTAAATTGAAGTCTTGCGGTGCAATTAACACCTCGACCGAGGTATGACCACCTTATTGTTTACTGTGTAATCGGCGGAGTTTTACGTTACAGATGGATGAATGGAGAAGTCTGTTTCTGTCACTTGTAGAAAACTAACCAGTAGAGTCCCAACACGTATGGGGTGGAATGAGAAGCATTATATGTATCAATAAATCTGTTTCCATGTCCGTTAGATAAATACGAACAAGTAAATATTGAGTTTTCATTAAAATATCAGCGTTCAAATGACTGTGCATAGCTCCGATGTTTTGCCGCATGTCAAAGTATCGGCTTATTTGTTGTTATCACAGTGGGTGACGACTGTGTTTTAAATTCAGACAAAGATCATCACGCTTATAGACAAAATGCCAGTACCTGGTTATTGTTTTTTTATGCGAGGTTTCAACGGGTAGAGTTGTTTTTAATTCCAGCTGAGGTCACGAACCCAGGATTACGTTTGGTGATTGACACTGTGACACCATGTCCAACATTGAAAGCCAACGACTACCCCCACCATGCACCAAATTGAACGGTATCATAGTATCTTTTCAACAAATAGATTGATAATTGCCGTCACTATTTTGTTATTGTTTCGTCACATTGCCACAATTATTTTGTTATTGCACGTCATATTTAATTGAGGTAAGTATATTTGACTGATGAAGATGGAAATACATGTTATCAAATACAAGTCATGAATGACACTGCCTTCGCTAGTTGTCATACTAAAGTTGCATGGACATAAATTGGCAAACATGATTTCTATGGCATT